ACTGGGAATTGACGCGGGTAGCACTATTCCACACATTAGCCCATAGTCTCTAAGAAATTATCATAAATTTCCTCACTTGATCTTTTGCAAAGTCATTGTCGTAGATGTTTGACAAGTCCCGAGACCAGAGTTTGGGCGATGATGATGCGGCGTTTGGATGCTCGATGGTTGCTTGCCTCGAGCGGGACCATATAATGGCTTGAATACAGAGAATAAGAATGAGTGCGAGCTTCAGATTTATTCCCGCCATTTTAGAAGAGTTTCTGTGTCGACTATAGGCACATCCAATAGAACAAGGGGTAATAACAGCGCCAAGTCCGAATCAAAGTTGAGACCGGCCCCAGCCTCAGCACTCAGACTTCTTTTGACAGGCATGTCGAAATTTTGGCCCTTGAGCAGCTTTGCGGCCCTCCTGGTCAGATAAACTATTATCCACCAGTGAATTACTGTTCAAATAATCTCTTCACAGGCAATATGGGCCGTATATAATGGAAGGAGCGCCTACAATCTCTTGGTCCCCGCTCCACTGCCGGGATCATACTTTGTTAGAGGCAACTCATCCTGTAAAACTATCAAGCACAAGTATTCAGATCGCTTGAAATTCTGCGAGGACTTGACGCCATGGACGACTTCAGATACCGCCGGTAATGAGAGACATAGGATCATTGCATCCTGCGATCCAGGCAGGTGAGTTGCAACCTCTATAGGCATTTCCTTGTCAAGCATCATCTCTGACTCATCCCTTTAAAGATACGAATGGAACACTGTTATGGTATGTCCTACCTGTAGTGAATCTTGCTGGTGTGCCTTTGTTCACGACGAATGCCATAGGGCCCGTTGCTGGATCCCGAGCCTAAAGGCAACCTTTGGGTCCTGAACCCGGATGCAGAAGATTTGAATCCTCAACCTCTCAACTTGGAAAACTTTGACTCGGCACACGACTTTCATCCCCTGGGTATAGACATATTTCCTGGGGCGGCTAATGAACCATCCACGCTTTTTGTTATCAATCACATGCGCGATAGCAAGCGTACAGTAGAGGTATTCGAACTGTATGACGAAAACCCACCACGCCTCCTCCATGTAAAGCAACTCTACCACCCAATGTTTTGGGCGCCCAACAGCGTCGCGGCTCTTTCCCACAAAGACTTCTTTTTAAGCATTGACCACTGGTTTAAGAAGGACGGCCTCTGGCCCTGGAAGCTCTTCATGCCCGTAGTGGAATCCGCCTTGATGCTCCCTCTCGGTATGGTGGAATATGTACAATTCGGGTCAAGTGGCATCAATGTCACCGTACCGGCTATAGGCGTCCCGTTCGCGAATGGACTCGCTTTGTCTAAAGACGGCTCAAGGCTTGCCGTAGCGAGCACTTCTGCTTGTAAAGTCAAGGTCTATCAAGTCAATGGAGAAGGCCTCAAGCTAGTAGATTCCATCAATCTCCCCTTTTCCCCAGACAACATGGGTTATGAACAAGATGGATCACTGACGGTGGCTGGTCATCCACACTTCCCTAGTATTTTACGGTATTCGAAGCGAAAGCAAAGTACCTCACCTTCATGGGTGGTCTCTATCTCCGATCGAATCCAGTCGCCACAGGATGACACAAATCTACAAACACCATATAGTGTGTATAATCGCACCAATACTCATGCTAGGTATTCCGTGAAGACCCTGTACCAAAGCAATGGATCAGGATGGTCAGCGTCTTCTACGGCACTTTGGAGTAATAGAAAACAGGATAAACTAATTGTGTCAGGATTATATTCTGAAGGAATCTTGGTTTGTTGATCAGG